ATTATAATGTGATACAGATGTAATCAAACAATTGAATCGTGAGGAGAAGAATTATATTTAACAATATTGAATTGTCCCCCATTACAAATAAATGAATCCTCCAAATATCATTATTTTGTTTCTTCTTCATCTAATTATAAAGAATTGAAGTAAAATAATCCTTGGAAAGAATTCCTAAAAAATATTTAAAATCTTTTTCTATGTCAGCTTTCGCCATTGAAGGTGTTGGTGGATTGGTTGGCTTCCCTCATTTAACGTATGCGGATGAGCCTTTTCATTCATGACTCGCATCCACATCATTTGGGTCCCCTAAATATGGGCCCGGCCCACACACTTGGCCCATCATGCCTTTTAACGAACGAAACTGAAAACCGTGGTGGGCTCCAAACGTGACACGATTCCTTCCAGGCAAAAATGGGCTGAAAAGTTCTGTAAAAGGTAATGGGTCTGCTACTACTACTACCTATGAAATATCGTGAGAATCGGTCGGTCAAAAGAGTTGCCACATTTGCAGGACTGCCACCGCGGCAACAACTACGCCTAGAATATGGCGGAGCGTTGTTCTCGACGCGCTGCTTAGATCAAATGCAGCCCCTTCGTAAACCATTGTGCCATTGCCGCCATTGATCACTGGCGTGTTTGTGTTGTGAGTTTCCGTTGATTTCTGACTGCAACCACAAAAAGAAACAAAACTTGTCAGTTTAACATATTCGGAAAACTAAGGAACACGTGTCAGAATTTGAGTGGACCGTTATGCAGTATTTTTTTTTTTACCGTTGCGTTAGCTAGGACACTCCACGTTTTACGCGAGTTAAACCCGTTGAACTAACATGGAAACAAATACCACGTGAAAAATTCTCTATTCCCTCCAGACGCTTAGATTTATTAAACCGACTCGCCGATTTCCCGGCAAGGGCGTTGGTGGCGTAGCCGTCCCATGATCCACCGAGAGACATGTCGGCTAAAGAGTCGGTCGATGTAGATTAAATTACTTAAATACCCCTCTAAATCCTATTTGGGACAGCATTGATGCACGAGATTCCCTCTGTGCAGAAATCATAATGCTTCCCATTAACGTTCATATTCCATGGTTTTTGTTAACTCCTGGCGGACGAAAATAGCCTCTAACGTTAAAATGATAAAGCGTGAGTAAAGAAAGTTAAAGGGGGAGAATTATGTAAATTTACCTAGTGTTGGGCGAGGGGCAAAATGTGATGATATAGTCGGCGTTGAGACATGTAAACGTGCTGGTTAAATCGTCGTAAGCGTAGCTGTAAGCGCGTGGGCACGCGTTTTTAAACGCTTGCGAATACGGAGAGGGATTGCAAGTATCGGGAGTGGCGTACGCGCCACTACAACAGAATTGTGGTTGGTTAAAAGCTTCACACGCGCTTTTACAAGCGATGCTCTTTCCGTCGTCCACGCTCGTAAGCTTGAGCTCTGAAGGACACGCGCCATTCAAATCCACCACACATCCCGTGCTCGCGCACTTCTCGCCGGTACCGCCCTGTGGGACCACGAGCATAGGGATGTTGTAACCGTCAACCAAACTCACGTCGAAGAAATCCAGCCCGCCGGCGCCGTCAAGGGTGAACTCCGCCAGAGTTGCCGGCGGCTTTGCACCGTTTCCACTGCACTCAACCTTGTCAGAGCCACAGTCTCCAGTGAGGCAAGAGAATTTTCCGGTGGAGTCTTGGGAGCAGTGAGTTCGGCCCCAGAACCGACCGCCCCAAGACGCGGGAGCGGAGATAGTTTGAGACTCGCCGGCGGCGAGGACGAAGCCGGTTGTCGGAAGGGGTGAAACTCCGGCGTTTGAGAGAATTCCCGGCCAAACTGTGTAATCACATTTATTTACGATGCTGAAAGTGGTGGACAATACACCTGTAGTTCAAAAATTAAGAAGAAAATTCAGAACATGAACATTAAAATGTTGATTAACAAGGAAAGTGAAAAGTGTAATGAAACAGGGGGAGGGTTACCTGAGATTAAAATATGGAAAGTTAGGAGACATAATGTGAATGAAATTAGGGTAGCCATCAATGAAGAAGAGACGAGATGAGAAGAGCAAAGAAGACGGTGTTTGGGGAAGAGAGCGAGGGATTGGGAATGAGGGTTCAAATGGAGGCCGCAATGGATCACTTATTTATGGATAGTCCAAGGCCCATGGACCTTTCTAGCTACTTGCTTGGTGGGCCCACCCATTGTATTTTTTTAATTAATGATTTTTTTTTAAAAGGATTAAATTGGCAATATCTTTAAAAAATGGGCAACTGTATGGTGTAGTTCCTAATATTCAAAGCATTTTTTTAAAAAAATATTCCTTATTAATGTAACATGTTTCAAATATACCCCTTTCATTAATAAATATTTAAATTTGCTAATAATAAACTTATATGGCATGATATTAAATGAGTTGATATATTTTTTTATAAAAAATTAGGAACTAATTTATAAATTTTTACCATCTTACAGTGTCATGCAATTCGAACAATTACCGACATGAAGAATAAAATATAAAAAAATATTTAAAATAAAGTAGAGACGTCGGAACCTGAGAGATTATTAATTTAAGCTATGCCCATGTCCAGTCCAAGTGGCATGAAAATTTGACCAAGGCAGCCACGACCAAGCCACTCAACGCACTTACAGATTTATTCCAATTTTGTCTTTACTAATAAATAATTAGTAGTCAAATTGATCATGCTGCAAAATCGAGAATATTATTCTGATTTGAAATTTGTTGAACATTTTATATATTATAACAAAAAAAACGAGAAAAACTCTATAAATATGCTAAGATGAGTCACGTTATCCATTACAAAAGGCTATATTTTCATGCAAGTTAATATTATTTTATTATGAACCAATGAGCGAATATTTTATTTCTTTGGTCCAATTATAAATATTTGTATTTGTGTGCTTTTTTTTATATGCGTCAAATTTTGACCTAAAATTGAATTAAAAATTTTGAAAAATGAATTAGTTCATTAGATTAGAATAAGTTTTTTTTTTGTTTTAATTTATTATCCAAAATTTATGGACGTGTTGATGTGATAATTGTAGGTGGGATATTAATTTGGGAGTGCATCCATTTCAGACTCTAACAAATAAATTAATATCTTTGATACTCAACAAATATCTACAAATATCTCTGCACAAGTTGTAATGCAACTTTAATTTATAATAGGACAAATATTTGGGGCTTTTTTAAGTCTACAAATTATTTTGTTAGGAACCTACAAAAACACATTCAATTTAGATGAATTAAAAGAATAGTAGAGAAAATGTAAAATAAAAAATATTGGTTAGAAATTTATATTGAAAATTTATATATAATAATCGAGAAATAAAAAGTACAATTTTTAAAATTATATATTTACTAAATATACGTTTACCCGGTTAAAAATCATAAATAAGTTTTAATCTTAGTTGAATAAAAGATAATTAAGTTTTTATAGAAAATATTTATTAATTTTAACTATTGACCAATAATAATAATAATAATAATAAATAAATAAATAATAAACTAATAAAAACAAAATAATCTAGCATCTAAAAAAGTTTTGTAAGATCTCATATCAGTTAAACAGGTAATAAAATATTTTTTATAAGAGTATATGAATATTGGGACGTATTTTAAAATCGTGAGGCTAATAGTGATATCTAACGGGTTAAAGCAGACAATATTGTTATAGAAGGTATCCCAAACAAGAATGGATAACGAAAATGAAATAAGAAGTGCTAATTTTATTTGATTAAATTTAATTAAATGGTTCCTTTGCTAAAAGATTTTATCCTCATAAAAAGAACCCGCCAATAAAGTAATAAAGAGCACTTAAGGATAGATATGGCAAAAGTAAAAAAGGGATGCATAGTCAGAAAGCCGCAGCAGCCTCTTTGTTTAAGGTTAAAAAAAAAACAAAGGCCGTTCTTTCTTTGTTTCTGGTTTTACTGTTTTCATACCACAAATTTCAAACTAGTCCAACTTCGTAGACCGTAATTAAGAAAATGAATTTAATTGGTGGATCCGTTGACTATGGTTCCACGTAGCTGGCCACCTGGGACTTTGCCGTTTGTCTCTTCAATTTGCTTACCAAAATTGACATTTTTTTTTATTATCAAGCAATTTAATCCTCTCAATCAGCGGGAAACGTTCCAATTTTCAATGCCTAGTCACGATATTAAAATCCACGTCAAACTTTAAAAATTGTTTTTTTTTATATAATTATTATTCAAATTTTGTCGGAGTTTAACGTTGAAAGTGCGCGGGCAGTAGATGTATCGAAGAAGAAGCTGAATCAGAGGCGGCAGAGGAAAGTCGAAGGAAATAGACAGCACAAATATTGTCCATGCTTTTTTCTTTTTTGAGATATTAATCCTTTATCTGCAAAGAATTTTATTTAATTATTTGTATAGGGAGGACCACTATAAGAAATTAAGTAATATTATGAGCTTATTATAGATAAGCTGTTCAACAGCTGGCTTGCTCTGTATTAAAAGGAAAGAGACATATCTAAATACGCTTTCATTTTTGTGGGGCAATTACCAAATATCAGCCTGTCCGTACAAAACATCGTGTCATTTACAGCATTTTCCCCATTCTAAAATGCATCGATTGGCTAATAGTTAATTTCACTTTGGGCCGACAAGATTCAAACACTCTAGTTGTTGACCGAATAAGAGAGTTTAACTTGTGAGCTCACGTTTTACCTCAATTGAAAGGAGGTGAGATCTCACAATGAATATCATACGTGTTTTAAAAATTATAAGACTGACGGTGATATATAACAGGTAAAAAACGGACAAGATCTACTAGCGGTGGAATAAAACTATTATTACAAATGGTATCCGAATAAGATATCACTAAAGAGGTAGGTTGTGAGATAGTTGGAGAGAGAAATAAAATACTCCCAGTAAAAATTCGAAAATAAATTTTTTAGAATAAAAAAAAACAATATCTACTTGAGTCGGTTAAATCTTTTATTAAATTCCAACAAAAGTCATTATGTTCAGACTTCACTTACCCATTTGTCCAGATGGAGTTAACTGTAGGCGGCGGATTTCCTGTCAAGAGGGCTGCATAGGCCGAAAATATTGAAGTTTGTGACATGAAAAATTGAAAGAGGTCTAGGTTCGTGTGATTGACGTGGGAGCCTGCGTCAGCTTCTATCATTGTTCTATCTGCTTCGAAATACCACTCAAAGAAATGGCGTCATTTCAACACGAATCTTCCATCATAGACCAGAAATTGAATACTAAATGCAAAACTTTTGTTGGCTTATGCAACCTTTAATTGGAATGGGGTGATGCAGAAAAGGCCAAGAGGGGGTTTTAAACAATATCACCACTTTCAATTATGCTTTCCAGATGCATCATCAATAGGCCAAAACCTCGCCCTCAGCGTTCATCTTCTTGACCCCTCCCTTCTAGTTATGGCCTCTATAACAAATTCCCCCACTACTAAAAGCCATTCCTACAGATGTGCCCAATACTAACAACCGAATTTGAAGCTTATAAGCACCACCCGGGGAAGTGGATACGACTAACCACAAAATTCAAGCTTATAAGCACCACCTTCACAACCATTATTGCATCGCAGACATCATTATAAGGAGACAAAATAATGTAGCTAGGGTGCAACCGCAGTGCAAGATGGGCCATTGCCGGAGAGCCCGAACCATATGGCACCTGGTTGACGTGCATCTGTCCACGGCTTTGGGAGCGGTAAATTTCCCGCCAAAAGCAGGGAGTTTTAGGCATTTGGAGAATTTGAAGACGAGGAAACAGTTGGAATTAGGATGTCGATAGGTCCAATGCTTCTTAAACCAAAACACCCTTTTCATAATCACTAAACGACGATCCCAATTCATTATCCAGTTCTCCGTGTGCAAATAGATTGGGGAGTGATTCTCACGACTATGAATTTGCTCCAATGGAGAAAAGTTCAACTTCAGAGGTCAGTTCACTGCCACTAATGAATGCTTGTTTCTGAAACTATTTGTTGCCGATAATTTCGCTCTATGTAATCGTTTGCAGTTGTATCTCTGTCATTGTTTTAGTCGAACTATGTCCTAATCCGTCGTAATCACTCTCTCTATCTTTGTGTTGTTCGTTAAGTAGTCCAGGATCAACTTCAATTGGAGGTCAGTTCATTGCGTCAGATGTATGATTGTTTCTCAGACTAATATTCGTTGATATTTTCGCTCTATGTAATTGTAGCAGTTATATATCTGCTCGGTCATTGTTTGAGCAGAATAATGTCAATTTAAATCCGTCGTAGACTGTGCGGCTTGTAACGTCGTAAGATTTTGATCGCCTGATTCGACTTGATAGTTGGTAGATCTAGTAATAGCGTGTGAAGTATAGCATGTAGGTTGGTTAAAGAAATATGTCTTCCTACATTTTAGATTCCTTCCGTATAGTTTCTCAGCAACCGAAGAAACAGCAATTAGAATCAGTGATTTTACGTCTTAGGGATTTACAGTAACCAATAGAGAACTGTGCCGGAGGATAGCTGATGGTCATAGGATTGCAATGGACCAAAACGACATTGTGGGGTGGGTTATTGGTTGCCAACATTGGTGATTACACCCGAGGTCGTCTGGACAATAAAGCAGAGAAACGTAAATAAAGAGCAGTGAGCACTGCAAAAGATGGAAAGAATGACAAAGAAGAAAGATGAACGTCAATTTACTCTCTTTCTGAGCTTCTTGGTGTAGATCCTGATTTTGATCGACTAGCTTCTTTACTGCCGTGTGAGTTGTCAGTGGCATCATTTCTTCTGTACCTGCTAAGGACTACTTTTACTCGTTTGTCAACTCTTCCAACTGTCCGGAGGAGAAAATACTGCCAAAATTTGTTTCGAAAACTTTCCCGGTTGCTGAATATTTAGTTGATCTCGAAGAACTGGAAATTAATGGAAGATCAATCAACAAACTGTGAGAAAGGACATGTGAGAAGCTCAATGGTGATCAATTATATAATGCATAGGGAAAGAGTTATGTTAACAAAGTGGGTCTGGTTGGGATGCAAAACGTACCATTGATATAATAGTGATTAATGAGCTGAAAATAAAATAAGAGATACCTTACCTACCACTAAACGCTTGCCGATTAGACAGATTTGGAGCTGCATTAAAGTAGGTTAAAAAGAAGGTTATAATAGGGAGAATATCCTGTTTATCTATACGGGCGGGTTTCGAACAGTCACTCGAATGGGAACATGAAGTTGGGAATCAATGTAAAAAGGATAGAGGTAGTTCATATCACGCAAAAGATCGCATATCTTTGTGCCTTCCGGTTAGGATACAGTAGTTCATTAGATACATCATTTCTGTTAACCCTAAGTTTAATATATCTAATGCACATACCATGATAGTGCCTCTTTCCAATGTCGCACGATGGTCAATTTGTCAAGCCGCGTTACTACATTTACATTCCAAAGAGAGTGATAAACAGCGATAAATTTTAACAGCAACTTATAATCTCATTTTGACCGACCAACGTCGCATGTTTTTTTCACTCAAAGAATGGATTTGAGGTGTATGTGGCACTGATAGGACAACTAATCATACAAGGGAAACAATTTAGACAGTAACTTTCAAAATATATAAATGGCAAACATATTTAGATCACTTTAGTGGAATTATTAACGATCGATACATCATTGGACAAAATTTGGAAATCATGGTAATATCATTGTAATTTTTATCTAGTATACCTATAAATCATTTGGAAATCGAAGAAAGAATTTAAAATTGATCGTATAAAGAACGAAAGAATTTTACAGTCAGAATAAACACGAAAAGTTTATTAAGCTGCCAGATTAGTAAGAACTCAGGATGAAAGGACACACTGAAGGAAAAGGAAAAGGACTTGTTAAGCTGCTTAAATTAGGGCACTCAGAATGAAAAGGACTTTATAATATGTGCTTCAAATTCACTGATCCTTGAATCTCATGCTGAATACAAGTGAATCCTCATGGTGCCATAGTAAACAAAAAAAAAAATCTGAAAAACGAAAGAGACAAACGGAATAAAAAATCAAAAACAGGAAAACAAAAACGACCAAATCACGGAAAATGAGATCTAAAATGAGTAAACATTAGAAGGCGTAGCTTTAAAATAGGCAAGCATTCAGTATGAGTAGGAGGTTGTTATTCCAGTCATTAAATTGATCGGACAGGTTTGAATTATCATCACTATGCTTGCACCAATCAGAAAAGCAACAGAATAGCCTTCATCGCATAGAAAACGCATATTGAAAACGCATTCAGAAAAAGAAATCAGAATCAGAATTCGTTTGCAGGAGAAAAAGGCGTTCTATAAAAGAGAATTTTCTCAGAGGTAAAGAATAAAAACTAGACCATCAGAAGAAATGGATCATTGCATCAATATCGACACGTAAAGCGTCGTCTCAGACGACCGTCGTGAGAATTTGAATCCAAAGTCATCATCTGGTTCTAAATTAAGCACAGACAAACAAACGCCATTACATGAACAAGAAACCATCTAAACGAGAAGCGGACGAGAGGAGTCATCGTGCAGAGAGCGCAGCTTAGTGCCCTAAAATCGAAAGAGAGAGTTGGAGAAAAGAGTGAAGAAGCTGTGTACTATTTAAAGGAGAATGGGCAAGTCATTTTAGGGTTTCCTCCTCCGCTACCCATTGACGATTTTGCCCCTGCTTTTTTGGGCCAGAATTTCTCCTCATGGACCCATAACGTGAGACTTCAGTAAAAGGCCCAAGCTCGGCAATCGAGCCCATTGGCCCATTTTGAGACTTGAATTTACTAAAGTCGCAGTCTAGATTTGTGGTTCGGTAAAGTCGTGGAAGAAGGCAGCGGTCAAGAATTTTGAGCTGTTCGTGGATCGAAAATAGAGGCCTCTTCGCGGTAAGAGGGTTGTGGTGTGATTTTCCTGCGCTGATTCGGAAGGTGTTCATTGCTGTTTCAGCTGAGTGGCTCTCCAGATCGATTGCCGGCGATAAACCGAGTAATTTCATTGTTTAGCTTAGCTGCTAAGGCCATGTCTTCCGATACTGTACCTCCTCTCATTGCTGCTCAAATCAATTACCTGCGCAATCACTTTCCTCTCCCCTTAATGGTAAACATTTCCGCTTACTATCTCTTCCTTGAAAATTCAGGGATAACAAACATTTCCGCTTACTATCTCTTCCTTGATCGGAAATGGATGATATTTGGAGTTCTTTCTTTCTTTTTTCCCTCCATTTTCCCACCCCGATGATAGTATTTAGTGTCGCTATAATATGGCGATAGAAAGCGAACGGTTTTTTGAACAGATCACTTATTCTTACTGTTTTGATATTCAGATTGAGAACATGTGGTCTGGCAGTAGACACTACCCTGGAATCATCGATAGGTTCACCTTAGTCATACCTTACTGCCTTGAATTCGTCAAATGTAAGACCTGTTTTCCATTGTTGTTATCATAATATCCTTTCAATTCTTTTCTCTTTCCCTGTAAATGGTTGACAGATTCACCGTACCTAGCTGTTTGATAGCTGTTACCTGTTGTAGGGGACATCATGTATGATGCTGAATCGCCATTTTCTGCACCTGATATTGTGTTTGGACCAGAAGATGAAAATTTCCATCCATTCACAAGTAAGGTTGATGAAGGAGAAGGATATCATGATTCCTTACAAAACAGTCTACGTGACTGGAACAGCAAAGATCCATCTCGGCTCACTAGCCTCCTTCAAGAACTGAGGTTCTTCAGGGCTTTCCTTTGATTGAGCCTTCTTCTGTTTCTAATGTTTTGGGTATAATTCAGCTTGAATTCAAAGGCAACTTTACTTTTTTTAAGGGATCGATATGCATCATACCAAAGGAAACGGGTTGAAGGAGTTGAGGATGAAAGATTGAAGTTTGAACTCTGTACTATGTTATCTAGGGAGGTAACGTTCTTCATTATATGTTTATTACACTGTCCTAACTCTGTTTTGATAATCAATTGCATGAGTTTAGGAATTTAAGGGGTCGGGTATTGGACTTGGTTTCTTGATAATACATTCTTGCTGGATGCCTGTAGAAATGTATAAAACTTTATAATTTAGTTTTCATGCTTGGAAACTGAATGAGAGAACTGCTGCTAGTTAATTATTCCAGATTTTTCATGCTTGAATTATAGTAGTGTAGAAGTTAAACCATCCCTATAATGTTTTTTTTTTTTTTGCTTATAACCATGTATTCCTTTAGTTGGGCAAGCTGCTCCTTATACAGATATCTGTGTTCTTTCCTTAAGGTTCTTTTATTTTCAATGGTAACTTAACCAAAACTACCTTTCTGCAGGGAATTGAAATGCATTTGAGTTCAGGTGTTGAGAAGGTAGTATTTTAAAGTATGTGGTTGTACTTTCCTTGAATAGTAAAGAGCTGATACTGAGAATTCTATTCTCTTTATTCTCATATGTGTGGCTTCTATGCCTTTGAATTTTAGTATAGCCAGAGGATGTCAAATTTGCAGTGCCATTAGTAGACATTAATATTAATAAGATGATACCTGGATGCCCATGGAGGCACCCACAGAAGATATTTTTGCAGGTTTCCTTTCTGAACTTCTGGTTTTCCTGTTCCTCTATTATTTCCCATTCTCATCATTGTTTATAGGTTTTATATCCTGTGGTGAGAAAATATGCGTCTACTCCTGCTGCACCTCGTCTGAAATTGGTCTCCACGTCTGAGTTGAAGGCTCTATTATCCATCGAGGACATCAAACTTCCTTCATGGATAGATGGAATGTAGGATACTCTCTCTCTTGTATCTCATTTCTATTTCTGCAGCGGTCAAGATTACATGGTAAAATTGATATCATTTTTTTTTTTTAACTGGCTTCAAGGTGCATGGCTGAATATCTTCCCCATCTAGAAGAGAGTCTTGAGAAACAGGTTGGTTAGATTTTTTTTTTTTTTTAACTCTCTGGGTTGATTAACTTGGTCTTTAGTTTTGGAAGTTGCCTAAAGTTGAAATTTTGTACTTTTATCATTCTGATGAAGGTACTGGATGCAGTTTCGTTGATCAATGTTAGGAGACGTTTTATAGAGGCGTTGAACTCTTTCTTTGGAAGGCCTCTAGAAGCTGATCCGGTGGGATTCTTACAAATTTATTTACATCCGTCGTCTTCATTTGTTGAAAATCATCATCCAATTCTTAATTTAAGTGGTGGGGGGTCGTCAAATTTTACTGATGATATGATTTTTTTTTTTTTTTTAGG